AGTTATCAATTTGAAGTTCAGAGTAACTTTTGTATTACTAAGAGGACTGCATTTTTCTTAATATCATTCGTTTATGCACAAATACAGGATAGGACGTTTACATTTATTAAAGATATATCAATACATAACAAATCGTAGATATTTCGAATTTAAGATCTGCTGACACGTTCCTCAAATATTTTTTTTTTACTTATTCAAAACCAATTGTAATTATTATTATCTTATGTTTTCTGAACTATTTTTTAAATGTCTAAAAGTATATATAACTAAAAATGGTGATATAACCAATTCAAGTGATTTCCAGTAGGAGTATATAAGAAAATTTCATCATCTGAAATCTTGCACAAATGCCTGGTAATGTATCTCAATTGTTTTGTGAGGAAACTTGTTAAAGTACAATACTTCAATCACAAATTCTTGGGAAAAAATTATATATTATCAAGGAATGTGTTTTGCATGGCCTCAAATGCTAAAATTTAGCGTTTGAAATTCAAATATATTTTTACAGCATTGCTAGAATGAAAGATACTCCATGTGGTACTCGTATTTACCTTATCATATCAACATACAATTATCACGAGAAGCATGACTTAGAATTTGTATTTTCAAATTAATCAGATGTTCTACAAATGCACTTTATCTCAAGTGAAGTTTAGTCTACTTAATAATTTGGTTTAACTTTTCATTCTTTTAAATTACACACACTTTGGTATCTTCTTCCTTCTTTAATCAGGTATGTGACGGGGACAAAGTTCTGTTGCAGATTATTAAAGTAATTAAGAAGCTGTATTCGACTATGGTCAACTTAACTATTCAAATTACAGGGTTATTTTTTAATTTTTTTTCTCTACATTAAGATAAATGTAGTTTAATGGAATCAATGGTTTCCATGATGAACTGGCCTCAAGTCCAGGTCAATTTATTCACCCAAACCAAAGTATTGGTACATGGGTACAATTATAACATATATACATTTTATACAGACTGGTCAGAGGTACATAAACAAAACAAAAACATGAAAGAAAATAAATAAAAAGATAAATGGAAATATAACAACAACAACAAAAAAACAGCATTATACAAAGATGCATAGCTTTCCGGGATTTTTTAAGTTGACATCAGTTCCATAGATTTAATGACATTCTGTTTGTGAAAAAAATAATTGCCCGGGTAATTTTTCTTATTACAAACTATAAAGCTTTACATTCTAGGATGTAATGAAATTCCTCAGCAATTTAATCATTATTTCAAAGTGTACAAATTTTATCGCAAAGTGGTATACCATACATCTTCAAGTTGCTACATGCTAGTAGGCGATGATTTGCAGAATGTAATTTTGCAAGTATTTTTCTAAAATTATGAGATAACTTATCAATATAATTTTCAAATCGAAAGTTTTTATTAAAGATTCTGTAAATCTGTCCTTTTGAGGATTTTATTTACGTCATTTGACCACTTTTGAATATCTGGTAAATTGATCTTCTGAACCTGTTATTCATACACGTAGTCAACTTTTGGTAGTCTTTCAGTTGATGGTTAATTGACAACCACTTCAAGCTAGTTAATAATGAACAATAAACTTTTGTTAGAACAAAATTATTCCAGGGTGGAGGAATTCACCATTTCGTTCAAGAGGAATGGGTATTAATGAAATAGCCAAAGGAAAATGCTGATGTTTATTCACAATTCTGTTTAAAACCATTTTTTTAATCTGAAAAAGAAATAATAACTTTTTTTTTGGAAGGCGGGAAACAATTTTTATGAAAATCGAGGGCATGAAAAAACTGTTAAAGATGTGAATTTCTTTAAAGATACTGGTTACTTGGTGGATATTGAACAATAAATAACTGCAATTAATATCACCAAGTACCATGCTGACCATTAAAGATATAACATTCTAATTAATACATTCATATTAATGCAAGTTATGCCTCGGGGAAGTAATCGATAGTGACAACTGGTATCAACTAACTATATGGAATAAATGGAGGACCTGGGGGCAACCTTAAAGCCGTCATGTGTCAAGGGCAACGCCCTTGATCAGCTCAGATTCTAGTACAGTTTTTAAAATCTATTTTTGGCTTTAAACATGTGTACTTTACGATTATTAGATGCAATATCTTGCAATAAAAGCCGTTATGGTAGCTCAGTCGGTAAAGCTCTCGCTCCGTTATCGGAAGGTCGTGTGTTTGAATCACGATCGCGACTGACCTAAGTCGATAAAAAATAGGTAGCAACTGATCCTACGCCAAGCGCTCGGGACTTTGAAGTGAAAGCTGCGGATCCTTCAAATGAGACCTTAAAAACCGGGGCCCCGTGTCATGGTAGGTATTTGCACTATAAAAAGCTTTCACTGCTCAATGGCCCTGAGTGCCGAGTAAACTATGGTGACCTCTCCATATAATTGAAAAATTCTCAAACGGGACGTAAAACAACAATCAATCAATCAATCAAATCTTACAATAAAAATTGATTTATATCAATGATTCATTTATCTTATGTAATACTATTATAACACTATATTATTGGTATAAAAAGAGGTATGCCCTCGATTCCTCTTTAAATCCATCACTGGCCCTTTAAGTAATGCAATAGGACTTGACCTCTACGATAGTGATGGGTTTTTTATTACTTAAGTTAATAAATATATATACGTTTATATATCTTGTAGGATATATATTTTAAAAATCATTGTTTTTAACTTTTATCCTTATTGACCTGGTTAGAAAAATATGATGATGACTTTAAAGAAAATAACGTTAAAAGAAGGTGCAAATGAAATCAGAGACCTATTGGAAAGATTTTCAAGGTTTACTCCACCTTTGTTTTCTTAAAATATGCGTTTGTTTTCAATCACAGGCTTTCTGTGCTCTTGCAGTCAATGATCGAAATGGTGATAGCACAACATTGTCCTTTAAAAAAATTTTGAAACAGTTCAGTGACATGGTAAGCTGGTCATCGATTCACCTTAGATTCCAATTTCTCCATCATCAAGTTATTTCCCTTGTTATCGTTTTTCTCGTTTCTCCTGTTATCGGTTTTTTCATTTCTTACACGTAATATTACACGTAAAAGAAAAAGTACTGCCGCAAGAAAACCCGCCTTTACAAAAGGGAGAACTTTCCCAATAACATCACAAGCGGTTGAACAACACGTGACACAGTTTACGATTGGTGGAATGACGACCAACAACAAAGCTGAAACAGAAAATTATTCAGTAATTAACAGTATTCAGAACAATTACTTTTAAGAACGACCTTCTGTTTATTCAAATTATACTTTTCTGTATTTTCTTAAATCTCCACTTCAGTTGTTATTTGTGGCAGTGGCAATAAAATTCTATACGATATTAGTACATGGTTATATTGACCTGCAGAATATCTTGTTCTAGCTGGAGGAAGTAATAGTGATTGAATATTTCATAACTAACAAATGGCGACCAACAAATGCTGGTACTCGTTTTCCACTTAATATAGACAAGTAATTTTGTGTAGTAATAGACACAATTTCTTTTCAATTTCGATGTTTAGGCCCAATTTATAATATAAAAAATGCCTGCAGAAAATATATCCAAAAAAAAAAAAAAAAACAAAGTAACCCCTCCCCCTTGTTAATGTAACTATTCCGACTAAGATAATGATATGAAAGTTTGTAAAATTACAGTCACATCTTATTAGTCCCCTACCGGTGAAACCGGAGGGGACTATAGGTTTCCTCTGAGTCTGTCCGTCCGTCTGTCTGTCTGTCTGTCTGTCTGTCTGTCCCTCTGTCTGTCTGTCAGTCTCTCCCACTTTTTTCCTAAACGCTTGCAGATATTGAGCTGATTTTTGGTATGTGAGTGTATCTTGAAGAGTTACAGATCAAGTTTGCATTTCGTTCCGCTTCATTGATTTTTGACTGAATTATGGCCTTTTCAATTTTTAGGGGTTTTCCGCAATTTTCTTCTAAACGCTTGCAGATATTGAGCTGATTTTTGATATGTGGCTTTACCTTGATTAGTTATAGATCAAGTTTGCATTTCGTCCCGCTTCATTGATTTTTGACGGAATTATGGCATTTTCAATTCTTAACGGGAACCAGATTACACTTGCCGGTAGGGGACTAGCATTGTTAATGCAATACTCTCAGAATGCTTGTTACCATTACATTTGTGTAATACACCTTAAACGTACAGGCTGCCAAAACCTACACCAATGGTATGTGTTTCTCTCTGCCAAAAAGGAAACGTATGACGGATGCTCATTACTTCTGATTTATGATTTAAAGACTCTACTTGGAATAAAGGTAAGTAAATGACTATGTGGTTTGTCAACATTTAGATATATCGACAACGCGTTTAGGTCCACTCTGCTCTGCTCCAAATATATAATGTTTCAATTGACTTTTGAGCTTGATTACTAATTGTTATCTTCATATTTCATTAAGAGTATCTTATTGAGATAATTAATTGGCAAGAACAAGCATTCAACAATGTGCCACCATCACCCCCATTTATTTTTTATATTTTATTTTAATGTTTTTTTTTCTTCAAACATTTTAATTCATCGATTAATCGATATCATGCTCAGTATTCAATACATGTAGCTGAAGTTCTTTCAAATCTTCAAGATCGAAGAAACTATAAAAATACGTACAGTGTGATTCCTATATCATTTATATTACTGGTCATAATATTTGAATTCGGTGACTTTCAACTATATTTAAATTTTTAAGATGAGGATAAAATATACATGATAATCAAAATGAATTATGCCTGTCGATATCTAATTCCGCAATTCTAAATAAATGATCCATTACGGACAATCAAATATAGAATGGAAGAAAATTATTGAAGATTGATATCTATTCAATCATAAGACCATAAAATTATCAAGGGTCAGAACATCGAAAATCAGAATTCCCCTTTGGCACCTTCAGTGATCTACAATGCACCACGTTATCCAGAACCTTGCATTACAAATTTTGATATGATAACTGGTATACCAAAAGTGAAAGGGAAAATGAATGATACTAGTCTTCTCGGCGTTCTTGGAAACACATCATTTATTTGGAAATTTATTGCTGGAACTGTTGTGATGTTTATTGGAGTGACAGGAAATTTGACAACATGCTTTGTGATCCTTTGCTCTAGAAAACTTCACACGTCGACTTACACAGTTATCGCAATGCTAGCATTATCGGATCTAATGGCTGTTATTGTGCGCTATATTGATACATTTTATGATTTATATATGAATGTGTTCTTGGAAGTGTACTACATAATCTGGGGCTTTGTTTACTTCACTCTTCATGCTTCCTGTGCCCATATCATTCTGCTCTTCTATGTCCGCTACCGTCTAGTTGTTTCACCACTATTATCATTAAGTAACTTTACCCCCTCACGAGTGATTCGTATTTCCATTTTTCTGTGGTTGCTCAGCATAATTTTTGGATACACATACGGCTGTTTCAGCTATTATGTCGACGTCGCAGAGATGGGATCAAAGCCAGTCTCTTTGTCTACCGCTTACATTGTAGATGGCGTTGTTGCACTTTTCCTCATTGCATTACCGGTCATCATAATTATGATCTTTCATTTCAAGAAAATTATTATTATCAGACTTTCTAATTCCTCTTCTGCAGTTCGTTTATCCAAACAAATGACAGTGATCATTGTGATTGTAATAACCATTCACTGTGCAAGCATTCTACCTTTCTGTTTCTATGCGTGGATGGAGGTGTATTTGAAGCTTAAAAAGACGTACCTTTCTATTGATATCAAACTGTTACGTGATACCAGCATTGCCATGTTTTTCCTTAATCACACAATCAATCCTATCATTTACTTTGTTTGGTCCATGAAGATGAGAGGTAATTCTTCACCTCGGCAAAGATCTTACATAACAAATCCCGACATCAGAAGTGTCTCTGGCAGTTTTTCAGGATCGAGAGAAACTGTTCTCAACTTTCCAAATTAGAACTTTTGTTGATATACTGTATACAGGGTTATTTTCGCCCTTTCACACTTACAAGCCTTTCCCCTGATTTAGATTTGTCCAGACACTTTTGTGTTAAAAGAGAAAAATCAGTGTCTGTTATTTTCGCCCTGTTTAGAATTCATCGCTGATGACGAAGGCGGTAGGGGCGAAATTATTTTGTGTACAGTATCAGTTAGTGCTTATTGTCAATTTACTTTCCTATAGATTACTAATCAAAATCAAGTAGTATTCAAAGAACTGGAAGGACATTGAAAGGAGCAATGTAAATAATATCAAATGAATGCTCGTCACTGAGTTTCATATCTATATTTGTGCAATATGTGACACTTGTTAGATTCGTCATCTAACAGGGCATACAATAAGCGAATTCACACATTTTATGAAAACAAATTATTATGTATTCTTTTCCATTTCATGCTTCATATTTTAATTCATCTGATTTCTTGTTACGAGATGAAATCCGTAAAATGAACTGAAATGAAAAGTAACATCATAGTATCATCATTAACATAACATACCTTTTAGGCATGTATCTCCCGTGATGCTAAAATATTATCGACTTCTTGGGTTACTTAGTTAAAACCACTGGACTAGGATGGGACCACAGTAGGGGACAAATTCTTACAGAAGGAAAAATCATTCCAAATCTGTGTCGTTCAAGCAATTATTGTAGTAGGATTAGGCCCATACTTGGGAGGTCAATCTTATTGGAGAAACTATACAAAGTTTTAAAATGGCTATAATTTGTTCAAGCATCTTCATGGAGTCTGGATACAAATTTGTTTAAATCATGGCTCCTCGAGCAAGGATGGGTTACTTTTGGTGTCAAACCTTTACGTGAAAATGTATTTTTTTTTTTTAAATTCTTTCTCAAGAGAGCTAGTCTCACTTAGCTACAGGCATTCCTGTAGTTCTATTAAAGCATGGCCTTAGGAACAAAGTTGGGGGCAATGATTGGGGAACAAAATTTTAAACAGATAGGTATTGCCATCAGGGAGAATTGTAGAGTCTACCTAAATATTCTGTAATCGGTACTCAAAATGGTTGAAATCATGGAATACGAATAATAGATTTCACTTATGTACATAAAAAAATCATTTGTCAGAAAAAGTCATTAAAATTAATTTTGTTATCTGTTACTCGCTTGTCTTTTTTGATCGAATTCTCGAGTTCTGATTCATTATTCAAGAAAAGAAATCAATATTCTCGATCGTTTTTATTTATTTATTTTTTTTTTATGGTTTTAAGTAATAATTTCAGAATTTATAAATGTTTACGTTAAGTAAGTAAAAGAGTGAAATGAAGAAGATAAAGACTACAAATACTTTCAATGAATTAAATTAAAATATGTATAATATATTTAACATTTAATTTTAATTTGATGTAATTTTGGAATTTTTTCTAATATCAAATCAAATTTTGATAAACACAAGAATTTTTATGTTAACGATTTGATCATGCCCATCGGCATGAATCCATAACTATATCGTGTCGATTACATGATTTGCGATATATCATCTGATTGTTTGCCTGACAATTTTTGTTCTGCCGAGAGTTTAATAAAAGGTATTGCTTTTTTGGTGTAAATTTGATGTCACTACTTGATATATGAAAAAATTAGTTGTCTCTTTAGTGTAAGGAAATTCAGCTTAAAAGATTTGATACTAAATTCGTTTACTTAAAATATTTCCAGACATAAAAGATAAAATCATTTTGCTCCTTTCTAATAGAGAACATGCTAAATTTGAACTGAATTTCAATCATAGTGTGTCCTTGTCTATATCAACAAAACAATGCCTCACAACTGCCCGAGGTGGTAAAAATTTTAATCGTCATCAAAACGATGCATGGGGGTCTTAGGCCCTAAATCCAAATTTGGTAACTGAGGTAATGGCACGCCGATCTTTGAAAGTAGAAGGTACTTTACAAATAATGATAACAATGAAGTTATATATTTTTTCTAAATATTCGCGTACTGATTTTAGTATTCGATATTTAGTATTTCGATGAGTACTCGAGTAGACGATTACTCGTTGACAATCCTAATTTATGTGTATTTTTACGTCACGGTAATAACAACGCCAGTCTTGACTTATTATTTTATTATCAAGCGTAGCAATGTGAAAATGATAGGGCTTTTTCTACAAAACAAGGAGACGTAAGCGTAGTTATGGACAGAGGTCTTACAAAAACCTGATATGAACTATGTCTCTTTTGATTCACTACTACCTTATGTAAATAAATAGTTACACTTTAGATCTTCATTACATCCGCATCAAACTTTAGTTTGCCCCCCCCCCTTTTGAAAGTTTTAAATGGTTAATTTAAAAAGTCCATATTTGGATTCTTCGCCACAAATTGCCAGCATCATGAAACAGACTAAGACTTAAGTCAGATTTTCAATTGCCTGTAGAATGTTTATTAATTATTGAATTAATCTCTAAATTTACAGATAACAATACTTTTGTAATGCAATATTAAAAATATTTTAGGTTTGCTCTGCTTGACTTCTAGAACATTGTAGTACAATATTAAGATTATGACTTAACCTTCAGATTTTTTCATGATCCCGAGGCCAGAATACAGGCTCGGATCTGTGATTATGGAAATTGCTAATCACAGGCTAATCACAGGCTTTTCAAACCACCACGTTCTACAGAAGAGAATATCGCTCAAGTAACCCGTCTGTCCTTACCAACAAAGCATTTGACGCAGTAAATACAAATAATAATCTTAATCAAAAAGGGGTCCTGTCTTGTATTTAACCATATTTCAAGTTGAAATCTACGACTTGTATTTTTTCATCGACTATTGCTTCCAACCTTTTTAATTAAAAAAACTCAACAGTGTCTAGACATGTTCATGTTCTTCTTCACCCTGCAACTATAGTCATGCTCGACACATCATTACTGATGACGTGAATATAGTTAATAATGAGGATCCTGTATGGCACGCCGATTGCTTCAAAATTATTTTCTGCACAACGATCACGATTTTATACACGAGCTTGATGAAAAATATACACGAGTAAAATAAAAATGCACGTATCGGTAAAAATTGCAAATAGTTTGAAAGATTTCAACACAAACATAACGAAAAATACACGAATCCGAAATTTTTTACACGATTAATGGGTATAAAATGCACAAACGTAAAATCAAAAACTGCACGAGCAGAGGAAACTAAAAATTACACAAACAATTTTACTGCGCATACAGCTGCGCATATGATTATTATGCACATAGAATATTCATTGTGTTCTTGGTTTTCTGTACTCTTATCTCTTCTTGAATGCTGGATGTAATCGAGAGAAAATGGCGTTGACGCTGATATACATGTTTGTTTGCTTCTTTATTTCTTTGCTAAAACTCGATCCGATTTCTAGCTAATGCCAATCAAACGAATGAAGTGTTTTCTTGTGAACTGTGTGAATAGAATTAAAAAGTTGTTCGGAGAATCAGATATCATATTTTTCTTATATTGACCAAGATCCTAGCCAAAATATGGAGGTATTATATGATGTCGGACATAAATTGTGACAAGAAAGAAAATGCATGTTTGTGTTATAATGCGGGGGAATATAATGCACTCGACTCTGAACTAAAAGTAATACACAGCAAACTCTAAATTCCTAACGATAAACAGATCTTGCTTTAAAAGAAATGATAGAATTATTTATTTATTTTTTTTAAATATACGCTCTATGGCCTTTTAAAATTATCTAACTTATAGATACAATTTTAACGGAAATTACTTGTATAAAATAAAATTAACACATGCATAATAAAACGATTAATAAAGTGGATTCTTCATGAAAATGATGGCAGAATTATTGCTCATTATAATTATTAAATTGTAGAATTTATTTCTCATTTGTACTAATTATGATTTCCTTTGAACAGATTTTTTTTTATTTGGGAGTTAGCTGGATATAATTTTTATTTTCAAAAAGATTAAAAAGTGGGGATTACCTGACCTTAGATATACACAGTATGTTTTTAAAGTCAAACATAAAAAAATATTTCTAATTATACATGTATCTTTACTTATAAAATATGAGGATATCAATTTTGGTTGGATATCTGTAGCCTACACTGTTATGAATTCCTTCCATGATATCGCATATTTTCAGTCAAAAATTGCTCAATAAAAAACAAGACACCTACGGGAAAACGTTACCCTCATTCGTAATGGCGATTACTTGATAAATATTTTCACTTTTAATAAAAAGGACCAGATAAAGGAAAAATATATACTCTTTGTGCTTTATATACATGCGGTTTTGTGTTTTATTACTTGAAATTTGTCCAAATGAAATAACAAAACTCTACTCAGATGATCCTTGCACCGGTAAAACTAATGACATCAGTGGCGGATCTGGTTCGTGGATTGATCGAGTCGCAACATCTGAATCTATGTATTTATTAAAGTTTCAAATAGTGAATTACTAAATACATCTACGTACAATATTACAAATAAGAAAATGGGAATGGATATTATAATAAATAGAAAGAACATAGAACGTGTTTTATCGCTCTTGAAAAAATGCAAATAAATCATGTTCTTTATGGAGCTCGGGGTTTGACAAAGATTTTCCAAGATAACAAATTTTCTTTACATTTCGAATTTGTATGCATAAAATTTTAATTATTATCCGAACACTTGTTTTTTGTAATAACACTTTTTTACCCAAAGATATAGTCATTATAAAAAGAACATGACTGTATAATTATAAAATGAAAATAATCTTCAATAATATTCAAGGAACATATTTGATACAAGCTCCACTTTTTAAAAGATTATTCACGTGCATATCTAACATTTTTGAAAATTCAGATTATGAGTTAAAAAGCCTAATCTATGCAATATGAATTTTGTACGTATATATGTACAAATAATTAAAAAGTTTGCTTTGTAGCAATATTGTACATGTGTTTCAATGGCATCAACCAGGTCTTGTTTTTACTTCGACCATGACT